GAGAAAGAGAGAGAGAGAGAGAGCACATCGGGGTTATAAACGTAGAAACGCCCCGTAGGGATATCTGTCAAATAAATAATCCACGAAAAGCGCGGTGTGTATGCGTGTGCGGCGGTGTGTATGACGTCACATCCTCGAAAACACTATTATTATACCTCCAACCACCTCCGCCGGCGTATTAACATAGATTACGCCGCCGCGGCCCTCAAGCGGTGCTCGGTCCTCGCCATTAGGCGATTGTGCGGCTATTGTGGTTACCGCGGCGCGGCGGTGTACACTCGCGCACATGGGACAGGGATTATATTTGCGCGAGCGCGTCCCATTGACGAGGAAAACACGGTGATCAGCGACGTGTGAAACCGTCGCTGCGCGAACATTATAATTTTCGCCGAGCGAAAAACCGTTCGAGGAGAGTCCCTCGGAATGCCTCGGGATACAACTATCGGTATGCGCTTTGCGCAACGCGTAGGAGTAGCATCGTAAATTTTCCGCGCGAATTACCGAATCGCAAAAAAGTAGAATATAGGTATTTCCTATCGCGAGATGTTCCTTCAGCGTTATTAATATCCATTATTTTAACGTGATGTAGATACACGTGGGTCGCTGATAATATCTCGACCAATAGGCCGGTGATTCGAGAGAAAGAGACGGTGATTGATCGGAGCAATGAGTCTGTATGTCGTGTGTTATTTGTAAAATAGCAGAGAAATCGTCATTGGAAATCGATCGATTAGTTCTTGGGCGAGCGTATCGGGACGCTTCCAAGTGTTTGAGTGATTGAAAAAGATGACGGAATGCGTGTAGACGTATTATTAAATTATATTAGGCCAAAAAAGTAGCAAGAAATAAATGATAAATGCGATCTATACTTCATTCCTCTCGATCAATAGAGCCACACGCTATGTTATTCCGACAATTAAGAAAGAAAGAAAATTTGGAAACTAAGGAATTTGAATCCTATGGTTGGGATCTCAAAAATTCCTCTTGTTCCTTCTCTTAACTTCCCCTAAGAAATAGAGTCAGCTGAATAGCTCAGTTGGAAGAGCAGTCGCCCGGCAAGGGAAAGATTTGTTTCCCGATTCCAGCCGACCAATATTTTTCTCGCCTATTTCTTTACAGGGGAAGTTAAAAGAAGGAACAAGGGAAATTTCTGAGATCCCAATCATAGGATTCAAATTCCTTACGATTAGTTTCCAAATTTTCTTTCTTTCTTAATTGTCGCAATAACATTGCGTGTGGCTCTATTGGCCGAGAGGAATGAAGTGTAGATCGTGTTTTTAAAAATTAAGGAGCCGACTTAAATATTCTTAAATTATAAATTTTGACGTATGAAAGAACAACCATTTTTCTTCTCTTTCAATGTAGCGATCCTTTTTTTTATATATCAATAAATTTAATACAAGAGTGCACTCTCTACATCAATCCAGAATAATAAAAATATTGCTCGTCGTTTATTTTTTATCGACGCAACAATTTATTTAAATGTATATAGATTATTTTATAACGCACAATTTGAAACGTATCAAGTACAGGAGAGATGATTCTGGATCAAAATTCAGTCAGTTGATTCGAAACTTGTCGTCGAAAGCGAGATCTGTTCTCCCCGCGGTACTTTTAAGCTACTTATTCCACGGCTTAACTCGTTCGCGATTCCGCTCATCCGACGGCGAAACTCAAGACAGGTTCACAATTTAAGATGGATCAATCCGCATGCTCTGACGGATAATCTTCTCTTAGCAGAAACTTGAATTAAAGGGACGAACCAAGTGTGAGAATAAGTAGACATATCCTCTTCAATCTATATACTGACAATTATATAAAAGGGACGTGTAAATTGCAACTATCGATTCACATCTGCTTTGCTCATTTATGGCGACATAATTATTTCACTCTTCTTTTTAAATATATATATTTCTAATTTTTAGAATTAATATATCAATTATTTCCCTATTATATATTTCTTCATAATACAGTCTAAAGCTAAAATAAAAGTTGTATCTTTTGCTTTACATTTATAAATTATATTTTAGGAAAAAGTAGACACACGCACACACAGTGCGAACCATATAATCTCGATCAAATTAAATACCTAAGAACATTAAATACATAAAAGGAGACGGAAATTCACGAGAAACTCATTTTCTTACTTCCTTCTTGAAGCCATGGATGAATGGAAAGGGAGTGCTTCTGGTATTCCTTTTCTCTCTCTTCATTCCTACGGCTATGGACGATCAACAGAAAGAGAATGAGAGAACACGAAGGGGCTCTTTTTTGCGATCGCGCTGAGTTCTGATCGTGGAAGGACTAGACAAAAGAGAATAGAGGAGGAGAGGAACCTCTGAGGACTTTTTTTCTTTCTTCTCCTCGATTCGATCGCGAAGAACAAAAGAATTCAACTCGGAGCATTTTCTTTGTCGCACAGGAAATTGTTTATTAATTATTTATTATGTTTTATTTAAAGGTAAACGAAAGAAAGTAAAGTATTTTTGAAAATAATTCCATTAGATGAAAAATATAGCATGGAAACTATAGTTTGCGGTTTTAAGAAGAAATAATAAATTTAATAGAAAAATTCCTTGCGTATATCATCACGTCATATTAAAGCCATCTTCATTGATAACACGGAAGAAAATCATATTCAATATCGAAAATGCGAGAGAATTGTATGATGAGATCTCTTCAAGGTCTCCCTTTTCTCTTCTCTTCGCTGCGTCTCGATCATCGTCGAGACGCACAGTGACGCGTTTGAAGGTGCGAAGTGAAAGGGAACTTGAATTTTCGAAGATCGCTAAGAGGAGACACCTCTTAGCGAGAGAGGCAGTCGTCGTTTCTCGGGAATGAGTCGGCCGATTCTTTTTCAATCTATATGTGTATGCCAACCGTGTTTTGACGAAAAATGAAAAGGCGAAGAAAAAACACAGGAGCGGCCGCGCTTCGTTTGGTAAACCGTTTGGCCCCGCGAGAAGGAATCTCATTCGTGGCGGAATTCGGTAGGGGAGCATACATATATGATAACACGCTTCGTAATAACGGGGTGAGCGCGAAAAATAAGCGTTCGCGAGAAGTGGCGCAGTTTCTTCTCTCTCTCTCTCTCTCTCTGTCTCTATATCTCTTTTTTTTGCCACACGTCCAAGGTCTCCGCGTGTGCATATCTCACGCCGATTAATTGCGGCTGATTTTTATTTATTGCAAAATCGCAAAGTGGCGCGCGCCAGTGTGTGCAGTTAATGATTATTGGTTCGCGATATTCCACGCATGTGGCGGATTGTCGGCGAGCGGAACGCGCGCGCGTAATTCGCGCACACACGCATGGGATATATGTATATCGTATGTAGAGTCTCTCCCGCGTCATAATAATAAATTCTACATAGCAACGTGACTTATCCGCATCGCCCGCGGCCAAGTACGCGCAATAATTGTTAATTGTCGACGCTGATACATGCGCCAGATAACGCTCTGCTCCTCTGGCGCTCGATTCACATATATATATATAGACTATCGTTCCGATTCTTTTTGCGGCATCCGGTGCTACCGTCCGTGTAAACAGTCAGGATAATTCGCTAATGAGGAGAATAAAATTTCAATAAAAAAAAAGATATTAATCGTCTTAATTTACCAAGATATTTCGTGATATGTGAATGTCATTATCTTTTTCGTCAAATCATAATTATATTAATTTAGGCTTCTCAAACGAACTCAATCAGTTGTCTAACATGGAATAAACATTTATCAAATCTTGACTGATTTAATCGTGCAATTATTTTTAATTATAAATTGAACAAATATTTGTAAATGTTCAATCTGCGCCGAATATGCATAGTTTCTTTGGGATAGATTCTCGGTAACTCGTAAAAGTTCGTGATTATATTATTCTCCATTTCGGTCACAGAGTGTCGTAAATACGCGAGCTAACGAACCACTGAATCTCTGCATTCGTTTGAGAAGACTGTAACAAGCTCCGGAGCTGACATTTAGCTCTTATCCCCTCATTTTTTCGTTCTGACCTTTGCCGCGTCTCTTCTTCGGGTCCTCTCGTTTTAATATATTATCACTTTGAATATCTTTAGGCGATCTCGACGAGGAAAGTATACTTGTGTCCGGCTTGTGATCACGTCTTCAAATGTCTTTCGCATCGTGTTGCAAACAAACATGATTCATTTCAATTAATTTGTTTCTTTTGCCTACTGTTATATTTACGACGCGTCTAGAATCGTCTAGCGACACAATATTAAGCGCAGTTCAGGCTGCAAACGTACGATTATCCATTTTCAGTCTCCACAAACGCACATGGCGAGCCATTGTATGTAGCAATATCTTTTGACATACTTCATGCACATATGGAGATACGTGTTAATGAAAAACACTAACGTCTATGTTGCCATCGACTCTGTTTTTCGTGTCCGCGTTGCGGTCGCATCCGCTGTGCAGATAGACAAACCGCAAGACGCATTGTAAGTCAATAATCGGAGAGAGGATGAATTACAATCTGTCGCGCGTCTCTCGAATATACCGTCGTTAGACGACTATTATATAGTCAGGATGGACTTAATTATATTTGAAATATATGCGTATAGGATTTATACGACATAAACATGTAATAATATTCGCGAGCGATGGTGTCGCATACAATTATTCAATTTTTTTTAACTACAATAAGTCAAAACACGAGATATAATATGAAAATTATATTCTCGCGAAATTATATTATCTTGTTGTTGCACATACGCTTCTGTTTTCCATCAGACAAGAATTTTCATTCACGCGGAGCACTTCAATTCACTTGAGTTGACAACTTGAGATAGAAGTTAGCATATCGTATGAATAAATATTTAACGATTTCGCGAGACTTCCCTAGACATATACGCTTTTGTAAAAACAACCCTATTCGTATGAAGAGAATTATTTGAATTATTTGAACAAGAAGGAGAAGATATCTGCGCGATATGGAAGAGTGCAAATAGCAAAGCGAAAAGAAGAAAAATCGATGGAAAAAAACTTACCCGACACGAAGCGAAGCTGTGGCAGCGGCTGCGGCGGCGGTAAGTGTCAGTTGTTGCGCGGCCGCAGCCGCACCGTTGATGGCCGGGTCGGCGACGAGTTCCGAAAGCACGAGCACCGTCGTCGTGGGGGTCGCGGCGCCGCAATTCGGCACGGATGCGCTCACGGCGTGCCGCACCGTCGGTGGCAGGTTGTCCTCGTGTTGCAGTTGCAGCTGTGGATAGTGGAGCTGTAGAGCGGTCGCGGCGGCGGCGGTGGCCGAAACAGCTGATCGTGGGGTGACGCAGGTTGACGGCGGCGAAGGTGACGGCGGTGACGGTCGCGGCGGTGGATACTTGACCACTTGTACCTCGTGCTCGTTCTCGTAGATGATCTCTTTGTCATGGGTATACATCACCGTCTTCTGACCGTCGTTGTAAATTAGACCCGCGGCTGTCTCGGTAACCGGCGTAACTCGACCGTCCGAATCGTCTGTCGTTGTGGCGTTTCGTTGTTGCACGTCGTCCGAATCGTTACTTTGTATGTGTTGCTGCTGTTGCTGTTGCTGCTGTTGCTGCTGCTGATGGTGATGATGATGGTGATGGTGATAATGACTATGATGATGATGATGGAACTTCGGATGAAGGACGTGCACAGCCGGCGGTTCGTGTAGATCAAGTACATTTACTGGCTGCATGGTCGCCAGTAAGACCTGCTGCTCGCTCTCATTTTGATTTGAGTTGCTCAGAGAAGAGGACGCCGGCGAGACTGGCGTCTGTTGCACCTGTAATATAGGTAGTTAGGGTCATTGTCGCGGTGTACATTGTGCGATTGTAAAATTCTTATTTTCGGACAAAAGATTTAGCGAGTCACGAATGTTGATTAAATTCAAGTATAGCGCGATGATTTCTTTCAGTTTAATTTTGCTGATAGAAATTGGACACATTTATTGACAATATTTCTTATCACATTGAAGTAATATAAAAGAAAATATATGTAATGTATCGCGCAATGCGATCGTGAGATCACGTTCTGTATAATCGCGTAAAAATCCATTACATCGAAATAATAATGAAAAGTCTTGATCTTTGTGTAATATCGATCGACCCTTCTTCCCTTCTCTTCCTATACACGAGGGAGTTTTATTTTTTCCTTTTTCTTCTGAAATTGTCCATTCATCATTGACTGCCGCTCTTGTGTATATAAGCTGGATTAAATCATTTACAAGCATAATGATAACGGAGCTTAAACACACTGCACATAGTCGGCGCTAATTTATTAATCGCATTAACAGTGCGGTTTACGACATTAGGATTTATATGCTCTCGGCGTCCCGGATAAAACCGTTTCTATGTGCGTGTGTGTGTGCGTGCGTCTGTACGAGTGTATTGCGACAACCTATAACATTTTCAAATGCTAATAATATCGCGATAGAAATTATATTAATATCTTTTCGCGACGTGCGCACAGTTCGAGAGATCTCTGTTACGTACCGTCCAGGCATCCCCTCGTTATAATTAATCGCCCGTTATCTGAAACACGCGCGCCGAGAAATTCTTGCAGCATATTCAAATATGAAATGATTATTGCACGATCTAGGTACGTTTCACTTGCAATGTGTGCGACTCTCTACCAATTTCTTCGTCGCGAAATTCAGGAAGAATCAACAGTGTGCTTTCATTTCCGAGAAACTGGTGATCCATTCTCGCGCGACATCGTTTGCATGTCATCATTACCTAATTGCTTCCAATATATCATGATTTATATTGTCGAAATTCGCGCGTTTTCTAAGAATTTTTTTTGAGAAGACAGTCGTGTGAAACGCGAGTAGATTAATTAATGCATCGGTGAACGAGAAGTTATAATATTGTTTGATAATTTTATTTTGTTTTCATTCTAAATAAAATTATTTTCTCATCACATATTTTTATATTTCATGAGTATCAGAAAAATTTTTCAAAACTATTCTCCGAACAGCATCAATAGCAAATAAAATTGCAAAAATTATTCATGAATTACCAGAATCTTGACAGAATAAAAAAGTTCAGTGGTTGAATAGTAAAGAGAAGTCTGATTGAAATTTTGCTAAAACTTCTACTCCTACTGAGATTATACTGCTCGTAAAACAGATATCCTAAATAAGTATACTTAATAGTCAATTTCTGACGGTCATTTTACTGATGCATCTGATTCCCTAAGTTAGCGTGCGCGAAAACCCTTTCGACCCGTATGAATAAGTATACGGTACAGTAATGACGTCGTTTGGAATTTCCCACGTGTCGCCGGATTATCATGCTTTCTAGGCAGTAACATAAGTTACGGCGCTCGGAGAGTGCTCTCTCTCTCTCTCTCTCTCTCTCTCTCTTTCCGAGGAAAACCTCTAGGAGACCTCGAGAGCTGCCCGATGCCACACAGTCATCGCGGCATCATTCGTAACGTGACAGCGAGCGACGTGGCATCGCTATTAAGGCTCGTGCATATTGCAGCAGCCCGTAGCCGCAGCGATAGGTCCGTCAATTAACATAATTAACAATATTATGAATCATCCTCTTAATATCCAGACATCTTTCGCGCGCGTGGAAATACACGTGATTTAAGCGCGTCGTTACCCTAAGCACGAAATTCTTTTCTTTCTTTCTCTCCTCTCTTTTTCGAAAAGTATCTTTTCCTTCCTTCCTCTTCGCGGTGTGCGCGAGACTTAATCCCGAATGTCACCGGTTCCTATATTTCCTCGCGTTGACCGTCGTAAATCCAGACGCCGATGAATAATCGCGACCCTACGATTAAGCGCGAGGATTAGCGCGATGAAATACGGCCGGTAGATGCAGGGTAAAATCATTAATGGACGAACTCGAGCCTCTGAATAGACCACACGTGTCTCCACGAGTCAAGGTAACAATGTTTATCTCGCGATTATGGCTTTCTGGCGTTCAGATCTGACAAACTTATTATTAACAACGTCGTAATTTAACGCCTTTTACCGTACAATTTTTTGCACATAGAATTACTTTTATATTTTGCAGAATTTTCATCACTTGCACTTAATACTCCACACTTGTTATCCGTTTTTTATCAGTGTAATTCTAAATTCAACATGTATTAATTCTGATTGCATAATATAATTACGTACATAAAAGACATGTGTCTTGATTTTGCGTAATATCGACATGTACAGAATTTTTAAACATAAATCACGAATAAATAAAAAAATAATATGCGTAGTTTTTCAAGTTATTAATCATATTAATAGCTGACATTTTTTTTCTTATCGTGTGATATACATAAATCAATGTATATGTTACCGATTCACACTCTCGAGATATTCCGATGTAACTTAGAACTGTGAAGAAATATACGAGACGCACGTATTATAAATAAATTTTCATCATCGTATTTTAGTGGCAGTAAATTTTTACAGGTCTTAAACGAAACATTCATAAACACCGAGCATTGTATCTTCAGAATCTTAGTGTCTAGTGTCATCTTAGTGTCTAATGGACAAAACGGTCCTGGCGTAACGGTAATGTCGCGCAGACAATAAAAATGTCATGCCGCCGCGAGAGTTGCGGTTTTGCGAATTTCGACTCTTTCGACGGCGAGTTACCGTAATTCCCCGATGTCGTTAAGGATCATCGCCGATTTATTTTCCAAAGAATTAACCATCCGTGAAAAGCTACCGGGAAGAGTTATTTTTGACGTCGCGCGCCATCCATTGCGATATGTTCGATCGGCGGTGTCAGGGGTCTCATAGATACATCGGCTAAGGATATTAATCACTCGAGTCGCGACCGCGACACAAACCACCCGCGGTCGTTACACGACGTTAAGTACTCCGCGATGCGAATACTCGGTCGTGTACCGACTTCATCCGGAATCTAATCCCACGTCAGTCGCGTTGAAATTTATCATGCCGATTTATTGATCCCTCCGCGGCGATCCTGAAATCGTGAATTTATTACCTTTTATTGCACTTTGCATATGGACGACTGACGAGACAAGGATGTAAATAGCAGTAACACTACAGGACATTAGCGTAAAAAAATATATATTTTTTTGCAATTTTATGACGACAGTTCTGTTATCGCATTTATCAGCTAACATTTATTCTATTATAGACGAGTCCGATTTAATTAAGTTTTATTATATATTTCAAAACTTGAAAAAATTAATTCTCCTGGTTAATTGAATATTGATATCTTCTATAATGTAGGGAAGAAACTTGCTTGCGTGATACTTTTCATAATTATATTATCGTTCTTATCAGATTTTTTTTTAATCATAGCAAGACCTTTCACAGAATCATAAATGACATCTCACTTATTATGCAGACAATCGACGGTCATCTAATCGCGGGAAAATTGATAGGACGTTCGCGATTTCAGGAACTCGCGATTACCGCGAATCCTGCGGGTTGCGCTTGTTCATTTAGGATGCTGTTCGTTTTGTTTACGCGCAAGAAGTGCTTCATAATAACAGTTAATTGGCCGGTCGGACTGCGTTCGTGAAAGCCCGCGACGGACAGTAATCCAGACGTGTCTGCCGGTCAAATCGGCCCGTCCGCATCCGCGGCTAAAACTCTACGGTTACTCTTACACGTCTCCCTCGTTTCTTACCCCGTTTCGCTACCATAGAATCGCGAATCACGCGCAAACATCTGCGGACGTTTGCAACGTGCAGTTATTGCCGATCGCATTGCGCGCAGGTGCAACGTAGATACGTGGAATCGTTAGGTACTTTTCTTTCGTGTACGTTCCTGACTTTGTACGTGTCTCGGAATTACGATCCTCATTCGTCATATTCGCTGTAATGACCAGGATATTTTCGCGATTTACTTTTTCTAATCATAAACCTTATTACTCGTTATATTTCTCGCTCTGCTTCAGCGAGGATTACCAATATCTGTTAGCCTACTGAAAAATGTTTATCTGTTTTATTGTGCACTATTTTTGAGGAAAATATTAGGAGCTTCAACTTTAATTATAAACATAATGTCTATGGAAGAACTCATAATTTCATTAATTGTTAATTAGAGTTTATAATCACTTTAAGTTATAAAATCTAAATAATACATATATATTTTTTTAAAACAATATTTTGCTCTGAATCCTTTTTATCATATATGATTATAATATATTTACAATATAATTTCTGCTTACATTGGCTATTAGCTTTTTTATCAAGCGATAACATTTGACAAAAATGTAAATTAAAAATTTAAAAATCAAAGATAATTGCTTTCTTAATAAATTCTAAATATACGAATCTCGGAAACTTTGAATTTTAAGATGTAGAATATATAATGTTGTTTTTATACTATAATACGTCTGAGCAAGAGCTCGTAAAGCAACTTTTTTCATTACTTTACTGCGGTTAGTGCTCTTAGCTGTAAGAGCGTTAGCCTTAAATGCATTGATTGTGAAAAATGACAACGATCACATAGTTACAGCGAAATATTTCTTGCGTTATCGTTCATCGAATGCTGGATACGGTATTTTATCGTGTTCGGTAATCGCATGATGACGCAGCTCAAATAATATTGCTCTCTGCATAGCGATTTTCCGATCTTTTACATAACTAGGTATTAAGAGTTTTTTCCGTAAGTTACGCGTAGAGTATCGAAATGTGATCTGATTCAAGTTATTTATCTTTACACACATACCATCGTTTATTTAATTAACGTCGTCGCTGATTATCGCTTATCATCGTTAGTCGTCAAGTGCTCTCCTTTTTACCGCGAGTCGTCTCGTAAGTAAAATATTTCGGCGTTTATTTCGTCGATGCTTATTTACACTTTTTTTATGCGCTTTTAATCTTGTTTTTGCGATCGGTATGAGTCATTCGAATCGAGAAAAGACGTGCGCGCACGAATTACGGGGAGACTGTTTTCTTTTTCCTCTTTTGCCGTTGCCGCCCAATAACGAAACGGTAAACGAAAAAGTTAATGAAGATACAAAATAACCAGTCGCTCGGAATTCTATTAAAGAGCCTTTATTTCTTATCTTCATAATGAACAGCGCGATCATCGAAGGTTCCCTTCGTTTAACCATCAGTTTATACGAGAAATCTGAAAAGTCATCGCCGCGGATCTCCTTCTTCATCATATTCAGTTTTGTCCGCGTAAATATTAAAGATAGATGCACAAGACGAACAAATAGTTGACATATCGTTCATTTAATGCGAACGATAGAATGTCGAGATTTGATGAACAGGAAAGCTTAGTCAGACGGGATCATCCGTGTTTCGACATAACGAAGAAGCGCGATAGGTATGATATTCTCCTGCGATCCGGAAGCGCGATAATATTTACACGGCTACTTGAACATCCGGTATGCTTGCACGCTTACGATCTTATCATAAATGTACGGATTTAATCGTTTATTAAAGGCGCCAGACGCGCAGGTGCGAAACGGATGGTCCCTTTACTTTTGACATTTCTTAAGATTTCGCACTCATTCGCGAGCAAACGTAGCAAATGATTTTTTTATTAATCTTTATTTTGGATTCTCGCGTTCATCGCGGATAACTTATTGTTAGTCTCGTATAAGATTCTTGTGAAAATTTTCTTATGTTTGTTACAGTATTAACTTTAATTGAAATAATAAAAAAATATATAAATTGATGTATAATAAATAAATTTTTATGTGATGTGTAATTATGTTACGTCGTATTATTCTCGGGAGAAAGAGAGATTTTTTATTTCCTTAATGAACTTTTTAAGCTTACATGTCGCATCAATCATGCGTGCGCGTATTTTCTTTTCGTTGGCGAATAAAACAAATAATCGAGAAAAATTGAAAGTATTTTGTTTTTAAAATATTTAATTTTTGCGATAAAAACCGTAGGAGTCAACAGAATGAGATTGTAATGAGCTCACAACTTTTAGTCATAACTCTTTTTGAGCTGCACATTAAAATTTTACCAGTACAGTTTACGCATCATGCTCGAGTTTTTTTATCGTAACGCGAATATAACGGGGCTACCCAAAGCGTTTCACTTTCAAGCGATGCGCGTCTTGAGAATGTTTCAAGGTTCTTTGAAATAAAAAATCTGAAATTATCTGTAACGATTCCACAATTAAATTTTCATGAGACGTGTGCTCTTTTTGTCTCCTTGATTATCATATTACATCATCAATCATGAATTTGTTTTAATAAATATTCAATTAAAAACAATATAAGAATTATGGTAAATGTGCCTTAAAAATGTTGGTTTAAAAAATTATATAATTAGAATTAATATAAAAGATTCCGACATTGAAAATGATAATTTTATGAAAATTTACGAGCGATCCGACTTTATCTGCATTAAAAAAAATATTTTTTAGAATTTAGCATTTTTCTCTTTTCTTAATATTATTATTGGGCATTTCTTTCACTTTTAGGATATTTAACTTGCTTTTCCAACATGTATTTTTATAATCTTTTTTTCTATTAGCTTAAGAAATAGATTATGGTTGATTAAGATCACGTCAACTGTATAATGTTTGAAAAGAAAAGAAGTTTTTCACAAAAGCGTCAGTGGGACACGACTAATCTGCAATTCAAAATTCTAACAATAAGTTTCCTGTGAATTCGCAACGGATGCTATCGTTGACAATAAAAGAGATGAAAGGAATTACGATAAAAAATACGGAGAGAGAGAAAGAAAGAGAAAATATGCAAAGAAAAAATCACATCAAAAAATGCAACCTGATAATAAAATAATTGCATCCGTAAATTGTTCCAATATTATAAAAGAACCGTAGGGAATTATAATATTATTAAATTTTACTAAAAATTTCGAAAGAAAATATATCTCAATCTTAATCAACGAGTAAAAATATCAGTTAATAATTATTTTACATAAATATCAAAGTAATTGAAACTGCACTTATTAAATTAACGACAATTTTTAGACTTATTGAAATTTAATTTTTGTAGGTATATATTATAACGTGAGAAAAAGAGAAGAATTGCCGATTTTTTAATTCGTTTTTATATGCGTCAACATTATATCTCTTATACAAATATAGCTCTCACAACCAGACAAATGTTTAATAATAAATGCAGAGTGCGAATACGTGTCGTTAAATCTTATTATCTAAAAGTAAAAATTTAAAACTGACCGGAGAAAGAGCCTCCTGCATATGCAGGGGTGTGTTGTCGCCCTCGTCGGTACACGTCGACATTTTTCAGCGTTGTCTTCCAGTTCTCTTCTTTCGTTGTATCGTTAATATTCGTTTAATACACCAGATTTTGATCGTCTGTTTCTTCTTCGGCAATCGCAGTCGTTTCTTTTCAACAGTAGATTTAATGCTTGAAAATCTTTCTGTCTCAATCTTCGATTAGACGTTTATGTCTACGCGAGCGAGTTTTAGTCATCGGATATCATATCACAGGTTACTGAGGCTTGTATGGCACGTCATTACTCGAAGAAGAAAAGCGAGCTGTAAAGACCTGCAAGAAGCAAAAGAGAAAAAAACGTGACGCTTAAATGACATATCGTCGTGTCGATATCGATATCAATTAATTTAAGTGATTCGAACAAATAAACATTTATCATTAATAAAGCGCGCGTGCTCATCGAGGAGTTTAATGCGTGAACGTAATAACTCGCGAAAGTAGGAGAGCAAGGTGATCGAGAGTGAAGGCCGAAGAGACGACTCGTTCCTCCCGCATGCGTTGGGAATAAAGCTGAACGCCCATCAGTGACGAACCGGCTGTCGGTTACCACTTCGGGGCGAAGTGGGCAGGTAATCCTACGTTTTCCGCATAGCAGATAGGTGCCAGCTCGGGACCGGAGAATCCGTGTCAGAGACTGTTCGTGGCTCGCGGGAGGACGAGAAGTTTCGCGCGCGTGACACGCGTAATCTCGCGCGAGGACGGGAAACCGGAACCCGAACCTGCACTCGTGCGCGCGAGCAGGTTCGGCGTTTATCGCCGCGCCACCGAGGATTCGCGCGGATGTCGGTCAACCAGTCTGACACCGCGAATTCTACATCTCTCCGTGGTCTCCATGCGGTCTCACCCAGGTGGATATTAGTAAAACCAGTCTCTCTCGGTCTCTTCTCTTCAGCTCGCCCATCTGCTCTTACTACGCGCGCGGACATGTGGAGGAGGGCGCGCGCGTAAAACTGGAATTCAGCTCGCGGGCACTGTTCTGACGGATAGACAGGTATAATAATAGACGTAACGAGGAAGCCGGACCATCGAGAGTGAACACACAGAACGGTGCCGGTTCTCACTCTCTTTTTGTCTGTCTTTCTCATTCACGTTTCATTTCTCGAGCCGCGCCGTCAATAACGGAGACGCGCTCGGTGATGCTCGCGAGGAAGTAACAAGACTGGTTGTCGGAAAGAAAGAGAGAGATAGAGGGGAGAGAACCGAAAGAGAGAGAGATGTCGAAGAGGGTGGCGGCGGGAAGTAGATAGGTAGGTACCAACCTACTACGCGGAAGAAGGAGATTGCGGCGACCAGGGAGAAGGAGTAGGTACGCACACGAGGCCGGTATACAACCGCGAACCGGAGACGAGAAGCCAGAGGAGCAGGTTCGGCCGGTCTAACCTGATTCTCAAAGGGAACCCTGCATCAGATTGGACCCACCTCCGTGGGTCCGTTTGTATTTCAAGTACCTGTACGCCCTCGCCTCGCGTCAGTGAACGATGCCTCCGGAGACGGTGGACTCCGTCGAGTTCGTACAAAGAGGAAGCGAGGCGTCCTCCTCGATTGACGGATCGCGCGACGGCGATGTGCCTCGGTCGTGCGTTGCACCTGCCGCCGATAGATTCAACAAACTGCCGTTCGCAGTCCCCGGCACAGACTGCCGTTAGTGCGACGAGAGTGAATCGCTAGAGATTTAGTGAGAGTTCCGAGTTGATTCTCGAAGAGTACGCCGATTCGTATACAAATGGAATTTTTAATTATGCGCCGAAAGATTTTGTGTAGCCGAATATGGATTCTTCTCGTCTCCGGGGATGAATTTTTTCGATTTCGATGGGTAATCGTGCGGGATTAGTTTTAAAGAGAAACTTTAAAGTTAAAACTCTGTTGAGATCTAGAACTTGTAGAATTTTTTAAATACGTGATCATTTTCAAGTTGAAGAGATGAAGATTTACACGAATGTTTGAGAATATTTTGGGAGTGTTTTTCGCTGATATTATTCCACATAAATGTATTTATATATATCAAGAAGAATAGTATATCTCTTACAAATAATAATTTCAATTCCAATTATATATAAATTTGCGGGAAATTAAACATGTGTTTGACAGGAAATGTAACCATAAGTATTGTTTATACTGAAAAATTGAAATCAATGAAAATATATTGACAAATAAAACAGCGTTGTATTACCATAAAAGATATTTATTAATAACCATCTCGATTTACAGTCTAATTTGTTTATTATATCGTATTGTAGCAATTTTGTAAAAATATACGTACATATGTACGTGCACGTACATGAATCTTACATTTCTACGAAATATTTTCTCGCGAGAAAGAATTGATTCCACTATCACGCGATCTAAGAATTTTTACTATCTCTCTATAATAACAATAGCGTGTATCGCAACTACATTAAAAAGCAACTACATGTTGAGTTGCACGTGATTGCTAAAAGACGCGAAGCAAATACAAGACATTTTGCCAACAGAATATCTCATGAACTCAATCTGGTCCTACGGCTTGGTGTTCACTTGTTCACCGGTAGGTTACCTGCGCGTCACCTTTGCGTCATCGCGCAGGTAGCCTCCAGCTATTGATGAAAACGGAGGGAAAAGAAGAAGCGGGGTATAATAAAACCGAGGAAGATTAGACAACAATATAAAAACAAATACTCACTCGTTGGTATCTCATTAGAAGAAGAAGGGGAAAAGAGTGCTATCCGGCGCATTCGCAAGAAGCCGATGTCGCTGGTCCGATGGTTGCTTTACCGGTGTGGCGGATTATCGCGCAGGGGAAGGTGAGAGAGGGAGATGGAGGTGATAGAGGTTGCGAGGGGAAGGGGTGGGATGGGGACCAACTACAAACTACTGAGCGTCCCTCCTATGTGCTGGATTACATCTCAACGGATAATAGTGTCACCACCTTCGCCGTGGACCGAAACGTACGATCTCGCGGCGAATATCTCCGCTGGCGAATCAGAGATACTCGAAGGGAGCCTTCTTTAAAGGTTCGCTCGGTTTTTTCGCACTCGAACTTTTCCAACGATCAAGAGTACCGCGAGATCTCGAATGTTTCTATCTAATGTGTCATCTAATCACTTCATATCACATCCGCGATTCACACATCATTGACGTAGACATTTCACGAGTCTCGAACATCGCTGCCGATCACTACGTGCGTTTTTTCGCGTCCACTCCGACTCGCCAGATCGTTTTCTCGGCAGGTCCTGTCAATAGACCTGTCGTACAAACCGTCCGAATTGAGCACCGGCTCCAGTCAAGCTCTTGTTCACGCGCGCGACAACGGCGGCGACGGCGATGATTACCGTCGCGCACGATCACTACAAAATTTCACGGATCCATTTAACGGGATCTTAAAATTTAACACACTGAGTGGTGAAACACGTTGTACTGCTTCGAAAATGTGCACTTTGTACCTGTAAAAAGGATCCAACCGAGGTAAAATTTAAACCGCCGAAAGTTTCAGTCGTGCCGCTGCAACCAACAAACGAAGCAACCTCTCGAATCGTTCTCTCTTCTCTCTGACAAGGCAACATGGCCGCCTGCCTCCTTCGCCTCTCAGCATCCCGCTCTTGGTTCCGAGTTGGTTCTGAGATTGCCCCCTCCGTTCCACTCATGTTCCACACACGCTTGTGCACAAGTATTTCCCTCCTTCTACCTTCCTCCTCTTTCTCATTCTCTCTCTCTCTCTTTCTTTCTCTCCCTCTCCTACTTGTTCTCCATTGCGTTTTTTCCCTCCGGACTCACACAGCCTCCTTCGCTCCGAAGCGTCTCTCTTAGGCTCCTCTGAGTTTCTTTTCTCATCTCTCTCTTCTTTCTTCTCTCTACCTGCACCCTATAACGCCTCCCTTTCGGCTCTTCCTTCGGCGGCTCTTTTTATCTCTCTTTCTCTCTCAGAATATGGTATAGCAATATAATCTAACATCATGGTCCACCATATCCCTCTTGGTATACTCCTACTCTTAATCGAGAAGGAGAGAAAGATATCCCGATTTGTGAGGTACCAGAGAGAGAGAGAGAGAGAGAGTGGCGAGGGCCCTTGGACTTCCCATCATCCTTCTCTCTCTTCCTCCAGATATATCCTCTCGCTCGTTTGCTCTCGAGCAGATACGATGAGGTCGAAAGAGACAGACAAGCATATCGCGGGCGATGGTAGGAGACAGTGAAAAGGAGGGGGAAGATCTGTGCGCAGGTAGCCAACGCGAAACAAGGACGTACTCACGGATCTTGACGACGAGCGAGACAGACCCATCGTCTCCACGGCGAGAGCCGTGCGGATACAAACAGAACATCAAGTCATCGACGAGGCAGCGGCCGGCATTCTTCATCTCTTTCGCTCGGTCTAGTCGTCTCTCGAGAAAGATATTCGAGAGTACCGCGAGAGATGGTCTTTCTCTCTCGCTTTCCGATCCCATCCTTCCTTCTCACTCTCTCCCATTCTCTTTCTCTTTTCGGTACCACCTTCGAATCGCGTCCTACTCCGCCTTGCTACCTTGAGAAGGATACACGTGATATAAGCGGAACGAAGACGGTTGCGCAGACATACGTTGTCGCCGATGTCCTTTTCTTACTCTGGATTTCATCCTCTCGTGACTCGCTCCAACTTAACTTCGCTACCTTGAGAAGGGTATCCGCGGGAAGGTCCGCGAGAGGAACGAGAAGGAGGACACGCACACATATATGGATTATCATATTTTACTTTACCTTCTCTCCTCCAATCCCTCCAATCTCGCTTCAATTTTATAACGCTCGCTCTTTATCTTGCCACCTTGAGAAGGATATCCACATACCAAACCGTATCTGAGAGATATCTAATAGAGGGACGTAAAGTCATCTCATTGAATACGCCGAAGGATGGCAGATATCTCATCGGTTGGAAAGACATATCTAGATATGTCGACCTATTATAAGACTTTTTGTTTTGCTCTGCAATAATTTTTTTTTACGCGCTTTATGAGGAGGCTTTCGTGCATGTCTATTCGCCTCGGATAATCGAGGTATCTTTCCGAGTCATCGCGAGATGAACGCGCGCAGACGTCGAGGTCCTCTTCTCATCTCCCTGGCCGAAGGAACGCCATGAACCTAATAGAAGGGAAGAGAGAGAGCTTCTTGTTTATGGAGAAACGAGCTCTATCGTCTCGTCTTCCTCCTTTCTTTTCGCCGTCATTGTGAAAAGGATATCCGCACACGCGTACACACCATATATGTACATATATATATATAGGTATAGCTCCGATTGATTCTCTCTTACGCGGAGCACGCGAGAAGAAACGCTCATGTTGGACGCCGAAGAGAGCGAAGCTGCTGCCGGTGCTGCTGGCCGGAGCCGCGTTGCTACGAACGGAGATGGACTCGGGATCGAAAGAGCGAGAGATTCGAGAGGGGAGTCGGGGGATGGAAGCACGAGAGGAGGGCGTGTGCGTGAGTTTACGACGAGAGAAAGAGAGAGTAGTAGAGGAATGGATGCGCGAGCGACGAGGAGAACGGGCGTTGGCTGCGCGCACGAAGGGAGATTAAAAGGAGAAAAAGAAGATGGAATTAAAAGAGGAAAAAAAAGGAGAGTCGGGCAAGAGGAGGCGAGGAGAGAAAGAGAAAGAGGGAAATACGAGGGTAGAGAGAGAGAGAGAGAGACCATGTGAAAAATGGGCACCCAGCGAGAGAGGACAGCCTGGGGCTACGTCGCGCGATGCGACCCTGTTCAGGGAGGGATTCGTTCTTCGTTTGTAAACTCCGAAATAACGTATCGTATATAAGTAGATTCGTAGGCCGAATCGAACCCGTGAAACCCGTTGCTTATCGTGAATAACCTAGCGTTTTCCTTTGGGACGGGAATTTCGAAAGATACAAGCCCGAGACCGATTTAGATTCTTCTTAGAACGCGCGTCGAATCTTCGTCTCGGAGATAACTAAACGCGCGACTTTCTAGCGAGTAATGATAATTCGCGCGTTTCTTTCCGTGGGAATCGCATGCTTATGCGTCGCGTGGGTGGTTGTGCACACTTTTGCGTGGGCGAATCGTAAGACAGATGAGAGAAAGAGGGAAGAAACGACAAAATTTTCGAGAGACCTGGGCTTTTAACCCCGAACGCGCTTGAGATATTTCTTTTTCAGTTTTTCCTAGATTTTTCGGCTCTATTTTTCCCGTTGTTTATACAACACGTTTTTCTAATTTTTAAGTTACATGTCGACTTATGGCGAACACACAATGGAGCCAACTGGTAGATTGTCTTTCAGCATCCTCTCGATCGCGCCGTCGGCGAAGAATCGTGGGCTCAATTGGCTCCGGACAAACGCGCGTTACGCGCGGCTTTCTAATGTCCTCGTGAAAGCAGATCGAAGTCCGATTCTTGCCGAGAAAATTCTTCTCCATCCATCGTATAGAGATACGACGCGCGCTCGCGTAGTCGTAATGTCGCCTTCCGCGCCCACCTTCCGGCCGTATGTCTCTCACGCCGACGGGATAAACGCGCATATCGGGTACTTATGTAGATTGCAGAGTGTTGGTAAGCGCGCGAAGAAGTGTCTATAATTCAACCGCATCGATAAAGTTCACTTTTAGAGTGACGGCACGCAGAGTGTTTCGACATACTCTTGTTGCTCTTAATTCTTAGATTGTTGCGCTTTGACCTATTACGTAAAATGTTGCGTCAAATTTTTCTTTTCGCAGGCGAGACCAGAACTTTTTTTAATTATTATACTGTTTTATCCTTAAGTCTTTTTCAAAGAGAAATTTTTTAGAAAATATTTTGAAATAAAAAAGAGAGAAGCCAGTTATGATTTTAGATCGTAATCGATCATGTAATAAAATATACGTATAACTATTTAATGTAATTAATTAATATAATGATTTAAGAAAATTATACACACATATATAATTTCTTTTTCGGTGAAGAGACGACACTTTTAGAGATGTTTGCGAGATTATTTTATGCACGCAGGATTATTTATTCCATAAAATTGCGGTTTGGAATTCGAGAGAAGAAATTAAAATTGCACGCTGCTAGGAACACATCATATGCTCGTTTCAGTAGAAGTATCTACGTACGATTCTGTCGTAGGTCATGTCGTCCGTAATTACATGCATCCTTCTGAATACGCCGACAAGTTATTATCGGCGAAATACGCATCCTCGTCAGCAAAATGTTCATTTATCAAGTAGTATTGTAAATGAAAGGATAGAGGATACGAAAATCATGCTTAGTTCATCATGGTTTTATCCTAACTGCATATTCCCCCTCAGCAAGTGAAACAAAAAGTTTAGGTCTTTTCAATCATTTTGCCTTTTTTATTCCCCAGACACTTTTTGTGGATAAAATAGCTTTAAGAAATCAAGTCAGCCTAGCTTATAAAGACAAATTCTTTATGTGAATTTAAATTTTCTGTTATCTTTTTAAAATGCTTCTGTACTCTGTTTTTTGCACAATAATAAAAAAAATCAATTTTTATTAATTATATGTAAACACAATATATCGAATTAAAGCCACGAATCGCGTCTCTGGCTAGGAAAAACCGGCTGGGGTGATCTGATTCAAAATGTCAAAGTCTCCGGACAAGATTCGGCATAAGGCAATGCCTTGCGCGGGCGTTGAAGTCTCTCGATTTTGAACGACGGCGCCCGTAAGCGCGCATAATGGTTCTCAACCGGTTCATCCGGGATTCATTCAGAGAAACGTCAATGTTGCATCTATTCACGCACATACGCCTATATCTATACTTATACATATGTACACGTGCGCGCCTATAGATCGTCACTACCTGTTCGCCGGCAAAAGACCGGTCAGCTCTTATACCGGTTGCGTACGTCTCTCTAAAGCAAACACCGGCGTGTTTACGTCTGGATAAAGATGCGGCGAGTCGCGCATACATGCACACACAAACGAAAGAAGCGACTAACATTCCGAGATTGATTCCTGGACGCGATTTATTAGGACAATTTAACATGTTTTTATATCATTTTGTCTTTTTTATCCTCAATGCAATATTTTAAATATAACGAGATACTTCTGCATCATATGTTGATTGTGCATTTGATGAAATTATTTGAATATATCATTTCTAATTCGAAAAAGTTTCAACGAAGAAAAGAGTATGTAGAAATATGAAATATATTAGCCATACGTTTCCACTTTATAGCCAAAATAAAATTTTTATTTAACATCGAAAAATGATAATTTGAAATACCTACCAGTCTAGCCGATTGAAAAACTGCGTCCGGCTATCTAATGCTAATTAAAGATTGATAAGAAAAATTGAATCTGATTTATCCTGTCGATAATTATATTCTAGCGATCGGCTTGCAAATCAACGCGTGTTCGTATCGCAATGTAAAAGAACTCGAGAGATTGGCGGCAGGAAGCGCAGCAATGGCGCTCGTGATAACGGTATCGAAAGTGTTACGCATACGAGCATGAGTAGCCGGACTTACACATTCGCAAAGATTATTTGTGATTAAATGAGCGTTTTGTTTTATTCGCGGTGCACTGGCGGACGGTCAATTTAGATCAATTTCACAGATCAATTATGCCACAAAGCTCGCGCCAT